CTTCTGACTCCAGTGTCCACATCATTAATGAAGATGTTGAACAGTATGGATCCAAGGACAGAGCCTTGGGGGACCCCACTGGTCACAGGACACCACGATGAGTGACTTCCATCAATTACTACCCTCTGGGTCCGACCCCGGAGCCAATTTTCCAGCCAGTGGATCATGGAGGACCCAAGGCGACAATTGGCCAGTTTCTCCAAGAGGCAATCATGGGACACCAGATCGAAGGCTTTTTTGAAGTCAAGATATATGACATCAATCTCTTCTCCCTTGTCCAGGTGATAGGTCACCTGGTCATAGAAGGAAATGAGATTGGTCAAGCAAGACCTACCCACAACAAACCCGTGCTGGCTATCCCTTAAGATGTTGACGTCGGCCAGTCCATTAAGGATGGCCTCTTTAATAAACTTTTCTAAGATCTTCCCCAGGATAGAAGTCAGGCTGATGGGCCTATAGTTAGCCGGATCCACTTTCCTCCCTTTCTTGAAGATAGGCACCACATTGGCCTTCTTCCAGTCTTCGGGCACTACACCAGAGCTCCAAGAGTTTTCAAAGATCCATGCTAGAGGCTGGGCTATGATGCTCGCCAGCTCCTTGAGTACCCTGGGGTGAAGATTGTCAGGGCCAGCTGACTTGAAGGTATCCAGCTTCTCAAGATGTTCCTTCACAAAGTCAGCATTAATGGAGGGCAGGGGATCACCCTCACCCGGACTTCCCGGCCCTGTAGCGGGCATGGGCGCTATGTATTCATAATACAGGGGTATTATGAATTGATTCAGATTGGCTATACGTAGCCTGTAAGTTATCAAAAGTAGATAAAATATTGCTTGTCACAGGGCACCAAGGAGTGCCTGTGCCTTTAAGAGTAGAAACAGCTTAGCAAAGGAGCCTGGCAGGCTACACAGAGCCCCACAGCTGCAGGTTGCCTGAGTAACAGGCTAACAAGGTAATTAGCTGGCACCTGCAGATGGTCAGCTGACTGGAATGAGTCAGAGCCCAGGACACACAAATTCAGGGCTGAGGCTGGCTGGGGGTCACTGTCTCTTTGGCAACTGCCAGGAGAAGGAGCTTCTGCACAAGAGAGTGGTCCAGTGCATCTGGCTGCCTGCTTTGCTACCTGCAAATGCAGTAAGACTCTAGGGGCTCATAAGGTGCCCAGAGATAAAGGGGTCTGGTATTTTAAGTGTGGGAGTTGGCCCTCGTAAAAGGGCAGAGTGCTGCCTTTATTATTAATGTTACGTTGTAGCCCAGGGGCTTAGGTATGTGTTATTGTTTGAACTGGTAGACTGGGAAGAGGCTAATAGGGGGGAGGAGGCCTCATTGGGGCACATGATTGTGTAGATCTCCAGCACCAGAGGTGTGCAGTCTCAGGGGCTGTGGAAAACCCAGCGCCAGGAGAGCACAGCGAGAGGGCTATGGAGAGCTTATTCCAGATGGGCATGGGCTGCAAGGGGCTGGAGAGCCCAGTGCCAGAGGGGCATGAGCTACAAGGGCCAGGGGCCCAGTAATAAGAGGACGTTGTGGGCTAGTGCCTCAAAGCCAGGACCAACACAGTAGACCTAGGCTAGAAGGCCTAGCTGTATCAAAGGGGTGGAGTCTGAGTAAGCCAACGTCCCAACAGAGCATAACAGCAATGTAACACCCATGAGGCATGGAGCATAGTAAAGGGGTGGCTGGAACCACGCAATTGGCCATAAGGCCTGAGGTGCCTTGCGCAGTACCATACTGAAGAGAGGCCTGGCAAAGGGCCTACAGATCAGAGAGCTTGAGTAAGGTTCAGCAAACCAGAAGTAAGCAAAGGCTCATGGGCAGCCTCCTGAGTTATTTTTCCATCAAAGTTGTGACAGGTGAGATAAGAAGGCACCCTCAGGACAGAGCTTGCATGGTTACAGAGCCACCAGGGGTATCACGGCCACCCTTGGGGATCTTGCTCCGTGGCATGCCACACAAAATGAATAACAATCATAGTGGGATAATTGAGTAGATTCACAAAAGCATAGTGAAATTGATAAAATATCTAACTTAGGAACCTTCAGAGGAAATTATATAGTTTTTAGATGCCCCATAAATGAATGAAAAAATGATTTATAGCTGCCAGCAGTTACTGTGACTTGGGGGAAGAATATTCAGAAATTGTACATATAAGACTGTTACGCAGAGTGTAAATGTAGTAGGAAATATTATTGCTTGAGATCAGTGGAATATTAAGTACAGATTTCTTCACTGGAGTCAAAAGCAGTGGAAGTTTTTATTTATGGATTGACTTTATTGCTAAAGGATGCCCAATATACTGTAAACAAACATGGTTCATGAAAATAAAAGTGTATCATAGATTACAGGATCTAGATGTTTAGAAGAGAATTGCTTTTAACTGAAGTGGTAAATCATAATGATTTCCAGATGTTTGGTTCCATTTCCCAGAAGTTTATGAGTACTTATGTTCATAGTCAAATATGAATTGGAAAATATTGATGTGGACATAGACTTCATAAAACACACGTGCCATGATACATTTAAATGTGAAGGTCCCACTAAGATGTCTCGGGGTAGATTTCAGCAGGCAGCCAATAGTTCCAAGTTCTACAAACATGAGAGCAGATATGAAGGCAAGATGCTACATATGCTCTTGAAACTAATAGGATTCATGGCTGGAAACTGGAAGCCCAGCCCATTCCTCAGTTTAGGAGATAAGCTTTCTCAGCTTAGGAGATAAGAAAGATGAGATGAGGGGAATCATATGCTGTTGCAGACACAGAAGAATGCCATGCCATTTTCCAGCAACTTGGGTGAGACTCGTGCCCAAATAACCCCCTGGGTTACAAGGAGCTGCTTTAACCTACCAGCCACACCAGAACACACCTAAGTTATGAGGAATGTATATTTAAACCCTAACCTAGACTTTTGCAAGATAGCATGCCGGGTGGTAAGTAAAAATCCATGCAGAAGTTTATCAATTGTTTTATATAGAAAAAAGTCTCTTCTAGACTTTGGGCCCTGCCATATCTTATTTTCTTACATACCACACCCCCCCAAATAAGACACGCATCTTGTTTTGGGGAACGGAGAGTGAAGAAAAAATATTTTTCTGGAGTTATGTCAACATAGAGAAGAGACAGTGCCTAATCTGAGACTTCTTCACACTCCCTTTCCTGATTAACCAAAAGCTGAAACCCTAGCTGCTGCTGGAGACTGATCTCTGTGGGTAGATCTATGATTTTGAAAAGAACTAAAAACACTTTCCAGTTCAAATAGGAAAAGACAGACCAGGAGCAGCTAACAGACAGAAAAATTGCCAAAGTAATGCTAGCTTGACTAGTTGAAAATCAAGAATATTCAAAAGGAGAGTGGAGTGAAGAACAATGAGCCATTAAGTGAATTTACTCCCTCAGCTGCCTGAGTGAAATGCCACTGCTGCTGCCAGGGATAACAGGAATCAAAGTGAGGTGCTTCTATTCCAGGACAAAACTCAGCTTTCCCATTTAAGACGCACATTCCAATTTTAGCAAGCTAAGTTTTGGGGAAAAGGTGTGTATGCTACATGGCTAATATGGTAATATAAGATCCAGCAAACTATGTGACAGTGAGACTGGAAAAAAGTCCAAAATAACCATCTGCCAAACAAAAACAGGAACAATATCCTCTTCTTATCACCTTAGTAGGTGACCTATCCAGACCCCTCACTGTTGCAGCTGGAGTAGTGGGATAGGCTCCATTGCCAGCATACAGAACAGGAAAGAGAAGTAATGAAATTGGAGGATCACTAGCACTCCGTATAGCACTGTTTTACCAACTTCTACTTGAAATCACTTTTAGGTTGAGATGGTCTCTGTACTTCTAGACTAGAATTGAGCAGAAAATAGTTTCCCCAGGCTATGTGAGTTTTAGACTTTGAAAATTTTCCCTTCCAAAATCCAAATAAGATACCACAATGCCAGGGGCTTTTATGAACCAATGAGTTGTAGGGGGGAAAAAAAAGGTCAATCAATGCTTTAATTAAGATAATTTTGAAATCAGATTTCAATTTTGACTTCAGATGTTTTTAATTGTGCTATGTATAAACTCAAATTTCAAAATGAAAAGTCACTTTGAACTGGAAATAAAAATAATTTGAAAGTGTCAAATGGAACGTTTCAACACTTTCAAAACTTTTTTTGAAACATTTTTCATGTCAGGATTTCTGAAAACTGACCCTCCTCTGTGCACCTTCTCAGTTTCAATAAATAAGCATTTTCTAATGGAAGCCATTTTGTCTTTAAAATTTTGTCACCCCCTAACTAGTAGGG